AAGAGCCACCCATTTTATAGTACAAATACAATGATTCGTTTTGTAATAAAATGAAAAATAAAAATAAAAATGAGTATAGTACTGAACTGAAATTTTCTATTATATTGATAAATATTTAAAAAAAATTGTCTCTGATTTTTCCACAATTAATTAAACCTTATACAAAAGAATGAGAGGAAGATCAAATTATTGTAGATAATTAGGGAGTCGAATAAGGATTTTAGGTCTACAAAAAGAACTACAAATTGACTTTGTTGGGGTAATATAAACCATAGACTTTGCCCCAAAAAAGTTGCCAAAAATAGACGCAACAGTAACATTAACTTATATACGTTGATTATGAACTTTGCTTGATTTATTATTTTTTGACTTGCAATATTGAAATGCCTCAAAACATGCAAACTGATCAATCATATCCCATGTCAACATCCTATACTTATGAAAAAATTATATTATTGAGTTGGGTTGGCCCATTAATTTTGATAGGCCCAATTCATTTGATCTTCAACAAGCATAATTAAAGGTCAGCTTACATTACATTCCACAAAACTTTACCAATAATTTACGGATTGTTTTAGTTAATCCTATTAAACGAAGTGATCAGTGAGCTCAACTCATCTCATTTGATAAAAGAGTCAGTCTCAAACTCGTTCAAACCAAGTCAATTTAAACTTGTTTATTAATCCGTTAAGGCTCGAGCTATACTCATTTATATTGCAAAATGAACCAAAGCTCGACTCGACTAATACACTCTTAAAAATAGTGATATTGATTTATTAGTTATTTATTTTTAATGCATATGATGTGAGCAATTATAAACAGTTACAAGGTATAAAATTGAATAGGATGGTGAGCTCCTATATAAACTCATAGATATGGTGAGCTCAACTCGACTCGTTTAATAAATGAGTCAACCTTAAACTCGTTCGAGCCAAGTCAATTCAGATCCGTTTATTGACTTGTTAAGACTCGAGTTTTTTTCATTATTATTGCAAAACAAATCAAGCCTAAGATAATGGTTGACGCTAATTTTTTTTTTTGTTTTTGTTTTTTTTTTTAATGCATATGATATGATGTGAGCAATGATAAATAGTAACAAGGTGAACTTGAATAGGATGAGATCACGACCCACGCCGTTTTCTTCGTGAATAAGTATGATTTCGATAATATTGATTTTTGGGGCATTGCTTGTAATGTACTCAATATCGAAAGGCAAACCATTTATTCATATATCGTGGCAATTTTGCAGACCTTATCCAATTGGATGCTCTACCCAAATAAAAAGACCCGGAAAATTGTGAAATTGTGTAAAACTCCTCCAAAAAAAGGCACTTGATCTCATAGAATAATTATGATTATTATTATTCTGCATCAACAAGGAATTTTAAGCATTTTTTTTTTTAAATCAATTATTTAGTAAACTTATGAATACACAAGTTGATAATAGTATCAAGTTGAGAACCTTGACAAAACTAATAATGATAAGTTCACGTTAGAATCATATATACAAATATATGTATTGCTATTTTTTGGCTTGATCGTTTTTATATTAAATAGATATTTGAACGAATAATGTATATGCTAGATATATACTATTAGAAATGCTTAAGAAGGTTACTATTTCACTCAAGAAAAATGTAATGGAACAAGAAATAACGACAATAATGAAATCGACTGCTAAGATAAACACAAACATATCAACAAAATGATGTTTTCTGGGGCCAAACGTGTGGAGATCGAGCCTGCCAAATTATAATGATTAATAATAATAGCCCAAAAATTAAATTGGTAGATTATCTAGTAATTTCAGAAAATAATAATAATCATAATAATAATAATTTGTGTCAAAAGGTGGGCTGAGCCCCTTTAGCTTGTTGACCCCGCAAACATATGCCCAAAATTGAAAGGAAGCAGACCTAAACATGAACAAGTTATCATAAGGTTGACTTTTAATTTCAATCTTATGTCTCTAAAAGATGAAGAACGAGTTCATGACAAAACAGTCTCATGTCATCAAACTTGTAATATATAGTACCATTAATTGTTTGATAAATTAAGTATTTCAGGAACAATTTTTTTGCTTTTAAAGTCATCGAAATTTATCTGAGATTGATGCAACTAAATGCTAAAAAAAATTACTGTTTTTAAGTAGCAAATAAACTACAGGAAGACAAAAAAATATGGCAAAATAATAAAACATGTCTAATAATTTTGGTAAATGGCAAATTTGCTCTAGTAAGTTTTGTAATTTTAAAAAATACCCATTAATTAATAAAAATCATACCAAATATCCCAACAAATGCGAAAGTATAAGCGAAACTACCTCACAAACTAATTGCAAAATGTTAGAATATCATTTGTGAGTTGTCCCACATCGTTCATATATGGAAAATAGATCCACCTTATTTGACTAATGGATTACTCCTCCTTCCACCAATTGGTTTTGGGATGGAACCTCATTTAGGCTTCATATGAGATTTTTTCGTTTTCCATGGTGCACTTCATGAGAGTGAATCTCCACCGTTTTCTCTCAGTTTCTATAACAGAAAATGGCAATAAATAAATAAAATTATATATATTCACTATTCACCCATTCGTATAGGTTGGTGCAGGCGATTTAACTAGCTAGTGGTTTTTATTTTTTATTTTTTATTGTTTTGCAAACGCGAAATTATTGAGCAACATTTACATATGCTTCAAGTTACTGTGCATATTTTAAATTTTGCCTCTAAATAGAACGAGTGCATGCAAAATAAACATATAAATAAATAAATAAATAAATAAAGAGTATTAATTCAGTTGATTTCATTTATCTACACTCTTTTTAAATACAGAAAGACCACTCATAATATTTTTCCACCCAAAAAATCGAGAATCGCGGTTTATCTAGAGTTATTCGAAACTCCATCACAATCCAAAAAAATTGCTAAATTTTATTAAGTATTGCATATTTGTTGGTTTTCTTAGAAAATGTTATCTTTAAACTAGAAGTGATTTTGTGATTTTGTTTTTGCAGATTAATTATATTCAAACTTCAAAGCAAATTAGAAGTGAGTACATATACATAATACATGCATGCATGTTATTATATGCGAGCTTGTTTGGCTAATGATGATGATGAAAATAATAATTATAATAATAATAATAATAATAATAATAATAATAAAACATGAGATATTTTGGAGCAGAAGTGTGCAAGTTGATAAATATGTCCATTTGGAATTATTGGAAAAGAGGATAAGGATGATTTTTGTGAGGTATACAATATTATATAGTGACTGGAATTTCGATATTCCCCGCTTTATCCACTCCACCAAACTGGGCCTGCCTATGTAAATAGGGCTGCATATATCATGGTGTGGTCAAAATACATTTCATTTCAAATCATTATTCATTTGAAACAATTTTCATATACACTTGCCGGGTCGGTCCAGTTCGGTCTGGTTGACCCGGCCCGACCCGACAAATATAAAAAATATTAAACAAAAAAGAAAAAAAGAAAAAGAGCGAAACCGTTGCCGGTGGTCAGCCCGTGACCCGACCCGGCCCAGACCGAACTGCCAGGACGAATTTTTTTGTTTTTTGAACCTGGACCGAACCGCGGCCCTTGCAGTTCGGTCCTACGGACCGGCTCTTATATGGCCGGTCCGGGCCGGTTCGGTGCCGGTTTCCGGTTCGGCCCGTGGCCATGTCTACATATACTACTTTCCAAATTTATCCATAATCAGCAATATTATAAATAAAGGAAATATTAGTGACAAGCTGATATTAATTGAATGTGACGCATTTCATTTTATAATTGTATCCGTATATTTTGCACGAAAAGCGATATAATACAAGAAAAAAGTAATTAAAAATATAGAATAAAATAAAATTCATAACTTAATAAATAAAAAATAATAATTAAAAAAAGTGAATCTAGATATTATTAAACACTTCTTTATATACAATATTGATTATTTTTCTATCATCAGAATCCTCATCACAAGAAATCGTTATTGTTAAACTTTTTCGACTCGTGGCTATGGGATTTGATTTTTCAAAATATTTGATACATCTTTGTGATCTCTAAAAAAATATTTTTGTATTATTGTATGACTGCAATAGAAAATAGAGATATTGTTAGTTATTTTTAATTAGTAGTGAAATATGTATTTATATAATATCAAAAAAATATAAAGTATCAAAATAAAAACAAACATAATTTGTATTTCAGGACATAAAAAGACGTTACAGAAATGAGCATCATCCAAAATGGGACCTGTCAAAATAAATTGTGTAACTGAAATGAACATCTTATTACTAAATGACGAATATATTTATATTAAAAAACACCTATTTGTATTGAATCAACTCATATTATTATTAATTGTTGACTGAATAAAATTTATTGAAGTTGCCAACAATTATATATATATATATATATATATATATATATATATATATATATATATCAAATGCGGCCAGCTCTTAAAATGCGCACAGCTCTTAAAATGCAGACAACTCATATCAACCACAGAGAACTAACCTAGCAACTACAGAGAACCAACCTAGCTACTACTAACCTAGCAACTACAGAGAACTAATCTAGGAATTACTAACTTAGCAACTACAGAGAACTAATTTAGCAACTACAGAGAACTAACCTAGCAACTACAGAGAACTAACTTAGCAACTACAGAGAACTAACCTAACAACTACAGAGAACTAACCTAGCAACTACAGAGAACTAACCTAGCAACTATAGAGAACTAACATAGCAACTACAGACAACTAACCTAGCAACTACATAGAACTAACCTAACAACTAGAGAGAACTAACCTAGCAACTACAGAGAACTAACCTAGCAACTACAGACAACTAGCCTAGCAACTACATAGAACTAACCTAGCAACTACAGAGAACTAACTTAGTTGGAAGGTTAGTTGTCAACGGTCAATGCCGGAGCCAACGTCGGAAGTCAACAAATTTCGCCGAAAGTCAACGCTGAAGTCAACGGTCAACGCCGAAAGTCAACGGGTCAAAATAATATTTAAATAATTAAAATAATAAAAAGAAAAGAATAAATCTTAGCCACACATAATGTACCAAATCTTGTGGCTAAAAATGAGTTTCACGTCCTCACTTTAAATAAGTGGATGCATTGGAACCAATCCCTATATATATATATATATATATATATATATATATATATATATGGTAACATCAAACACTCCGACCGGCTAGAAATCGATTTGCTTCCTTCCTCCTTGCTGGTAGAACGCCGCGTACCTGCAAAGAACTCTCACAGCGAAGGAGTTTTCCGGCGAGGAGCCTCTGATGCTTAAGGCAGTGTTTGTTCTACTCAATTCTCAAGAGTAAAATTGGATAAATCGTGTTCAATAAGAAAAGTCCACCCCTATATATAGGGGTTAGGGCTGCAAACGAGCCGAGCCGAGTCGAGCGCGGACCTTATCGAGCATAAGATCGAGTTTTTTTTTCATTGCTCGAGCTCGAGCTCGACGAGCCATAGAAAATGGCGCTCGAGCTCGACTCGTGAAACAAATGAATTGCTCGAGACTCGACTCGAGGCTCGAGATCGACTCGAAGCTCGAGATCGACTCGAGTTTAGCTCGAATTTTAACTACTATATTTCAATATATGCTAAACCTGATTATTATTACAATTTACAACATCCAAAATCGAAGTTAAGCCGTACATACAAAAATGCATTCATCAATATCACAAACTTGTCCCAAAATCAACAAAATACATTCATAAATATCATAAACTTGTCCCAAAATCAAAAAAGAAATATAGCCAGCTTTCAAATTCTCAAGCCCCAAAATCAAAAAAGGAAATACAGCCAACTTCCAAAATTCCCAAGCTGCAATATCACAAGTGTTACAGTCTCACTGACTTGTCCCAAAAACAAAAATATACATATATAGTCGGCTGCAATAATTCCCAAGCCATTAGTTACCAAGCATACTTCCAAAATATAGTCAAGCCTGCAATAAAACCAAATTAAAAAAGTTAGACATAAACTAAAAAGGGAAAGAAAAGAAGCAGACCAATACAACTACTACCTGAAATGATTAATCAACTTATAGGTAACAAGATCTCCTGAGCCGATTTCACTTTCTGCCAAAAAAATTAAGAAAAAAATACAACAGAGAAGTAAATAGACAATGGTTACATAATTTTCAAATTAATATTTTCAACATACTTACTTTCTCTTTTTTCTTAATGTTGTGTCGCTTACGACACCAATCACCAGCACACATTAACATTTCAACAGTTTCTGGAGCCAACGAAGCACGATATGAATCGATCACTCTAGTCCCGGCACTAAATGTTGCCTCTGAAGCTACAGTACTAATTGGAATGGCCAAAATGTCAGCTGCCATTTTTGGCAAAATCTTGTACTTCGTTGTGTCCCTCCACCACTTTAGAGCATCTAAGTTTACAATGTCCAAATTTGAGTCCTCTGTGGCTGTGAGAATACCATCTTCAAAGTAGGTATCTAATTCATTTTTTTGTGGTTGAACATTCCCAGCTGTCGAAGCATGAGATAAAAACTCGCTCATGCCAGTACGATGCGAGACTGAAGATGGAACATTTGAGCTCTTGTTTCCTGGATCATCCTGACAATTTTTTTTTGAAGCACCTGAAGTTGAAGATTGCATATCTACATATTCGTCGAACAACTCATACAAAGTAGAACGAACCTTGCTTATATTTAGCTCCACCTCATCAGGAGGATACATCAAAGGAAAGCAATAATTTATCACCACCATTTTGCACCTCGGATCCAAGATGGCAGCTATGGCCATCAGTAAGTTACACTCTCTCCAGTATTTATCAAACTTTGCCTTCATATTTCGAACCATTGATTGAACAAAGTAATCCGCATCATTTGCTTTACTATCTAGTAGTTGTTTTATCCTACAAACCTCATTTAGATATAAATTTGATGTAGGATAATCACTACCTGATATCACATGAGTGGCTGTCCAAAAAAGTTGCAAAATATTGCACACCTTTTCTGTTTTTTCCCAGTCTTCAGTTGTTGGGCATTTGGTATAGCTTGACTCACGGTATTTAAATCTTGGGAAGACTTCTCGAAACTTCAGCGCACAAGCAAGCATCTCATAGGTAGAATTCCACCGTGTTTTGCAGTCGTACACCAACATCTTCCCAGGCACATGTAATTGATGTGCGATTTCAGCAAATAACAAACGTCTTCCATCTGTCTTGTTTATAAAATCGACACTTTCCCTTATATTGCCAACTATGTCTTTGATTTCCTGAAGACCATCTTGAACCATCAGATTTAGTATATGAGCACAACATCTTACGTGAAATAACTTTCCCTTTGCTAAAAGACATTTGTTCCTCGAGAAGGTATCCTTTAAAGATCTCAATGCGGTGTCATTATTTGATGCATTATCCACTGAGATTGTGTACACTTTGCTCTCAATACCCCAGTCTTTCAAACATTTATATATCGCATCGGCAATTTCGACACCTCGTCTTGGAGGAGGGATGTGCACAAAGTTGAGAACACGCTTTTGCAATCTCCAGCTGCTATCAATCCAGTGCCCAGTTATTACCATATATTCAATCTTCTGATTTTTGGACTTCCAGAGATCCGTGGTAAGGCTAATTTTGTTGACTTTCTTCAACATGCTCTTCATTTTAGTCCTTTCTCTTTCAAATATTACCTTGCAATCATTCTTGCTGCTGGTTCGACTAATTTTTTTCCATTCGGGCATTCCCCTTTTCAGCATTAAATTCAAGCCATCCTCTTCCATAATTGAAAATGGATGCTCATGCATAAGCACCCATTCCGCAGCTGCTTCTCTCATACCAGCCATGTCAAATTGCCCAGTATGAAGATATGAATGTGTGCTAGAGTCACCTACTGGAAAATTTATCTTTTGTTGCTTCGGTTTCTTCAGCTTTGCCAATCTCTTCTGACATACATTCATATGCCTCAACAAACTAGTAGTTGTACTAGTTTTGGTTTTCATGAATTTTTTCTGGCAATGAATACATTCTGACATGAGAGTTTTTTCCGATCCGACAACTACATCTTGAAAATCCTTCCATGCTACAGACTTTCTAGCTCTCTTTTTTTGTCGAAATGGGTCTAAAGACTCTAAACCATCATCTGGGGCAGCCACTTCATTAGTGCCAACTTCTACCTCCTCTTCATCGCTCCCAAATTCTTCATCTCCAAGAGATGGTGCTTCTTCATTCATATTTACGGGATTTATGGGTGTGTCCATTCTGCCTGAATCATCAATAGCTCCAATATCACGTGGACCTACGTCTTGCGGAGACATTGCCATTACGCTTGAATTTCGCTGAACAATATAGAAATAATATAAAAAGTTAAATTACAACGACTTCCACAATATTTTCATTTAGCAATACAAAGATAAGCTTAATTGTATTGCAAAAAAAATAAGAAAACAAAAAATTCTAATTAAATTACAGTACTTAAAGGATTGGTGAAAATCTGTTATGTTTGATTGCATAACAAAGTAAATTTTAGTATCTCCAAATGACAACTACATTCTCAAAGCATAATATTAAAAAAAATGAGAACTTTCTTATTCTTAATGGGCAGAATCTCAATGAGAATTCAAATGTAAGGGACGGGTTTTTCGGATTTGTAATCCTACTTTAGATAGACCTTTACATAACAACACATGAGCACTTTTGCTACTTAATTCAACAAAACTGCACTATAAGCACTTTTGCTACTTAATTCAACAAAATCTCTACTATAAGCACTTTTGCAACTCAATAAAATCTCTACTAACTCAACTTTTAGCTTCTAGTTACTACATACCACCAACACAAGATTCTGTTTTCTACCACCAAAGAAAGAAAACAATCTTTTTGCAGAAACACTAGAACGAAATGAGTGATTTTCATTACAGTGTTAATAACGAACACCCCTTAGCATATTAATTTTTTTTTAAAAAAAAAACAAACACACACACATACCACACACAAACTCACCAATGCTAAACTCAAACACAACAACTTAATTTTTCATACGTTCATTATAGACGGGGCAAAATCTGATAATTTAGACAAAATCTTATACCTTAAACGGGGCTGCAAATTGTAGAAGAAGATCTTTGGAAATGGTAGAAGAAGAGCTTTGGAAGGAGATAATTAGAAACTGCAAAAAAAAGAGTCCCACCATAATTTAGCAACTAAATTTAACCAGCAGCCTAAAAGAAAACGAATTACCTCAAAGAGATTGAGGAACTTACATCTGTCAAAGGTAATTTCAATTTCTTTTCAATTTTTCGAAGAGTGCCGATGGCTTGAGCGGGGCAGCGAGGGAAACGAAATTGGGAAGAGAACTAGGGTTTTGTCCTATCACCTATGCTGCTTGCGACTTGTGAGGGGAAGAAGAAATGAAATTGGAATTCTTAATTTGTGTGAAAGTCTCGTAAATGAATATTAATATGTGCCAATTAAATTAACATTGTTCACTTTATGGTAATTTTGCAAATTATATATATATTAAGGGTATTTAGGTATTTTTGAGTATATTTCGAGCTGCTCGACGAGCCGCTCGACCTTATAAATTTTAGGCTCGAGCTCGGCTCGAGTTCGTGCTCGAGCGGCTCGAGCTCGACTCGAGTTCGGTCAAACTCGAGCTCGACTCGAGCTTTGACTCGAGCGCTCGCGAGCGGCTCGCGAGCCGCTCGACTCGTTTTGCAGCCCTAATAGGGGTGAGATACCTGCCCTAAGAGCTGCCCGGATTACCTGAGCTGGCTGCCCAAAAGCTGTCCGGCCTGCCCGTCCGTAGGCACATAGTGTGCGTGTGTTAAAAACGGTTATCGCAATGTACCAATCATGTTGCACCACGTGTCCTCTGCACATGGGGATCGCCATATACCAATCACAACGGAGGGGTTAGAAACGGTTATCGCCATATACCGATCATTTAGCGGGAGTCGAGATTTTTTGTATGCATGTCTGCGTGTGCATTGTCACCTGTCAGCGCGCGGCAGCGGCGGAGGCCGGCCCGTGACAGCGGAAGTCTACCGATGGTGGCGGACGTCGGCCGGTGGAGGCTGAGGCTCAGTCGATGTGTGTGTGCATATGTATGCGTCTGTATATGTGTGTGTTTTGTGTGTGTGCGAGAGAGAGAAAGCATGGGTGATGTGCGTGGTGTGATGTGCGTGGAGTAGGTGGGGTGGATAGGGGGGATTAACGTTTTTTTTGTGGTTGGCAGTTGGTAGGGGATTTAATGTGGTGTGGGATCCGCTTCTATGTGTGTGGTCTAGAAATTATCACATTACTCATAATGAATATATAATTTTAGTTTTTTTTTTAAGTCATTATATCATCCGATCTAATGACTACAATTTATTCTTATTTCTTTCACTAAGCACCATTCTCATGTGAGCGCGACCCTATATATATAGATTGGACAGGATAAATAAAATATCACTTAATGTCTAACGTTTACAGAAAGGGATTGGGACAGGATTGAACTGATGTGGCACAAATGTGGACTGCGGGTATCAAATATTTGAAGGATTAAATAGTCCTGTCCCCACCCAAGATTTTTTTATCCCAACTTTTCCTTTACAGATTTGCAGGCCCCAATGTTTTAGACAATCACATCCCACAAAGTAAACACTGGACTAAATGCTGACGTGTAAAGTTGTCTTGATTATTTTCTCTAATCCCATCAACCAAACTAAATGAAGCCTAAGAATATAAGGTATATAGCGCTTATGATTTTTTTCTATTTAGTGATGCTTATCATCGTCACTGAAAAATTGTCAGATTTTACAAATTTTGCTAAATTTAATGAAATGAAATTACTCGCAATGCAAGAGTTTGGTAGGTAATTTTCATTGTGTAATGTTTATTTTAAGTGCGTTTCATTGTGGAGTTCTGTGATAAGCGATGGACCTTATCTTACTTTCTTTCTGGTTTTTACGTTAATCATGAAATCAACCTTCTTCTTCTTAATGATACTTTTACGTTAATCATGAAATCAGCCTTCTTCTTCTTAATGATACTTTCATGCTAAATATTTTTTTTTAAAAAGACTTCCAGAATGAATTAACTAATACAGTATCAAATATTTGGTGTATTATGCAGTTACTTCGTTCGAATCCAATAGAAGAAAACAAGATCAACATTATTATTTTTTAAAAAAAAAAAATAGAAAAAAAACCGCATCTTTATCACAGGCATCAAATTAAGAATTTTCATCAAGACTACCTTTCCTGAGTTTCCACATAGTCATGGCTGGCATGGAACTTATTAATCCATGGATTAATGACATTAATCCATAAATTATGAAATCGTTTGTCCAATTGAGCATAAAATTAATCTAAATTTTTTATCTTTTTCACAAACATATACTGTAATTTTTTTTTAAAAGAAAAATGTTATGATAAAAAATATTGAACGAAACAATCAAGAATGGTTTAATGTATGGTTCGGAGTTTTGAAAGGCGGCCATTAGTACTAGAAAAATTTTGATTGGGCTCTGATGCATTTGGGCTGAAAGTCTCATCTCTTGCTCTTTGATGGTTTTCTCTTGGCCCAATCCATGCCTTTCAAAGCCTAACCCAACAAAGCCCAACTATAATTCAGAAAGTACACCGACTCTAGCACAGTAAGAGAAGTAATACAGAGTGTTAAAAAAAGTGTAATAATACGGATTACATATTATATATAATTATTACATTAGCTGATTTCAAAAAATAAAATTATTTCAAATAATTATATAATGTAAATTATTTATACAAATTTATATAAAGTTAAATATTTTCTCATAAAAAGTAATCAACATATATAATAAATCAGCCATGCATCATCATAATTTAAACAATACAATTTAAAACCCGAATTAATTGGTCACACACGTGGAGTACAATTGTTAACATCTAATATTATCATGATTTTTTTTAAAAAAAAAAAATAAAAGAAAAGAAAAGNAAAATACACCATAATGATAAAAATATCATTCACTTTTTTAACATATAATTTTTAATATATATGTGTATATATATATATAATTTTACCAACAAAAACCCTCATTCTTATGTTCTAAATACCCAAGGGCCAAGTTAATGTTGAAGATTTAGATCCAATCAATCTACCACCAAAACTCCTAAGATTCTCCGTCAAAACACACACTATTCAACATAACATTTTGTTGTCCTTATTGACATTAACTATCATCATAATTCCATAAAAAAAATAAAATAAATAATAAGTTGGGCAAGTTCCCACCTTCTGTCACGTGCCTGAATCGCTATCATACAAGTTTACTTAAGCCCCCACCATTGAATTTGTCCATTTTAGATGAGTTTTATTTTAAAGTTAACACATATAGAATACACATTATTTAATTCAATAGAGTAACGTAGGTTAAAAGTCCTTTTTATTTAAAATTTACACATGCCTTCATTTTTCTTCTTCCAGCCGGAAAATGTGAGCTGTGGATGTAAATATGCCGGCAACAAAGCATTACTTAAAAAGATAGTCTTCAAAGGATAACAAAAAAATGTATAATTGGGAGTTATACTTTGAGGACTAATTGGAATTATTATGTAATAAAGTAATCACATTGATGACAGCTGTTGAAAGTTTTAGGTAGAATGTCCCAATCTTTGATTAACCTACCTATATAATAATTTTGTTACGTGTTGTTGTTATAAGATGACATGAGATATTTAATTTATTTTATTTTATTTTACTTTTCTTGTTTCCTTTCCATTTGTTTCTTTCAGGGTGACCAACATATATATGGAGCTAAGTACTATTTTGCAGATACAAATAAGAAACTATTTTCCATTTTCCAAAGCACATAGATGAACATCAAATACATTGATACCATCTTTTTATTCTTCAAGTTATGAAATAGTAATCAAAGTGACCGTTTCAAAATTAGTTATATGTAGCTTGTTGGGTTATATAATTTAATCGGTTTTGCTAGGAAGCCAACAGTTGGCTCCATAGTAGAGTCAATATTCTATATACAACAAATAAATTTACCATATTCTCTGATAACTTAAATATCACTAATATAATTTTATTAATATGGTAGATTATGGAGCCAACTGTTGGCTTCATAGCAAAACCGATAATCTATAACATACCTTACACTAGCTCTGATTTATATTGATAACTCGTGAATTAGAAATATGAGTTGAAGGTGTGAGATTCATGGTCTCAAGTTTTCTTTAATTAATACCCTAACACACTTGATATAACATTCTTGAATCATGCTTGTCACT